TTTTTCCATATTGATTTAGAATGGCTCAAAATATCAAAAGACAAATTTACAATTTAAAAATATAGCTAGCTTCTTCTCTCAAAGATTGGTTGTTCTTAAAACATGTTTTAGAATCCTTATCAAAGTATACATACTTTAGCCTGGAAAATAGAAATGTTGCTGAGAGGAGGAGCAAATTTTTTTGTATTCAATTCCTGAACTTACTTAATTGCTATTTGTTTCAGGTCATTAAGAGGACGCTATACCACGAGCGAAATTTTTCAGCACAAATTCTGTTTCCCCTTCATAAATAATTTAAAATGTAGAAATTAAAGCGGGTTCAGGTGAACCAAGAACAGGTCATAAAACTTCAATTGCTGAAAAAAAATCAAAATGCGAGCAAATTATTGGAAGAGAACTACTCCATTGTGAAATCTTAAATAATCCTCTGATAATTTATTTTCTTTTTGATACCTTGAAAATTTCTTTTCAGTGTTTGAATCTTCAAAGCTTACTCTTGGTCTGCCTGAACTCATTTTTTCCATACTTTAAGTTTAAACAAAAGAGAAGTGATGACTTTCTACAATTCCAAATAATATTTTTTAATTAGATGGAATTTCAAAAAATAAAGAATTTTAAAGACAAGACAAATTTAAGAAAATAAATTCTTAATTTTTGAAAACTTTAACTGCTTGCTTATAGACTGTATCGGGACATTTTATAAAATTTCAATTATTCCATTCATACGTGTACAAAAATTTCAGTTTAAATAAAAAAATTTAACAACATTATTTTGCGTATAATGTTTGTCTGTCTACGTTATATGTGCTACACACAAGCTAGATTAAGTTTAATTTTTACAAGAATGGTCTCTGACTGTGTCAGTGTCTCTGTCGAGAAACTGCAAGGAACTATCTAACTTTAAAATTTTAACTGTAACTGTAGCGAGGCGGAAGTTTTGTAAACAGAAGGGGAATGATCGCCTCAGAGAGACGAGGTTGATATGTTATGCTCATTTCAAAAAAGCTTAATGTTTCGTTATCAATTATGTTTCTTGTTACGTTTTGTGTTAAATATTAAATGTTTTAAAAAGAAATAGTTAATTCCTTTAATGGCAGAACTTGTTACTTTTTATTATTGACATCTTTTTATTTTTACAAGAGTAGCGATCCTTTTTAAAGCGAAAGAAAAGCTTTCCATCTTCTCACCGGGAAAATTGAAGAACAACAGAAATTGCAGGTAAGGTAATTTTACCTTTACCTTTAATTAAGAATTATTATTGAATTTATTTGAGTTGATTGATAAATAATTTTTTACA